CCCCCCCCCCCCCCGCCCAGTGCCTTCCCTCCCTTCCCAACCTCCCAGCCCTCCCCCGTGGAACGGCTCCAGCCTTTTCTCACCACAGCCCGTCCAAACTCAGCTCCCACTCATGTTTTCTGAGCTGGGGTCCCCCCCCTGAACCTGGGGTGGCTCTGGGAGGTCTGAACTGTCCTCCTCCCCTCCCCCCACCCATTGGTGCCTTTCCCCTCCTTTTTCCCTCCCTCCTCCATACCCCCTCTCTTTTGGGCTGGTCTTGTGGCTTGAACTCTGCTTCATGCTCTCATTTGACTTTTTTCACTCCAGGCTGGTGCTTTAAGTCCACAGCTCCACTTCCAGCTTTTTGGTGGTTAGAGATAAAGGTCACCTGGACTTTCCTGCCCTAGGTGGCCTCTTACCTAGATCCTCAGATCTCGGCCTCCTCGGTAGCTATGATTCCAAGCATGAACCAGCAGCAGCCAGTTCTCTGTCTGGTCTTTTTGCCTCTGTTCCCCCTCAAAGTCCTCTCTCTCTTTGTTTTGTAGGTCCTGAGGCTTCAACTCAGGGCCTGGCGGCTAACTCTGAGCTCTTATTTTGCCTGAGCTTTTTCCCCCTCAAGGCTAGTACTCTACCACTTTGAACTACAGCTCCACTTCCGGTTTTCTGGTGATTCGTTGGAGATAAGAGTCTCCTGGACTTTCTTGTCCAGGCTGGCTTTGAACCTCTATGTCAGATCTCAGCCTCCGGAGTAGCTAGGAGTACAGGTGTGAGCACCAGTACCTGGCTTTCGCAACACATTCTTGGCGGTCCTCCTCCTCCTCCTCTTCCTCCTCCTCCTCCTTCTCCTCCTCCTCCTCCTTCTCCCTTGGCATCTCTTCCTCCCATCTCTCCCTTCTTCCTGCCCCCCACATTAAACTCAGGTCTGCTCCCTAGAGCCCAGCCGCCCCTTCCCCAGGGCTGTGTTATCATCTGGGTCCTTAGCACCTTCCCTTTTCCTCTCTCCTTCTCCCCAGTGTCACTGGTCAATGGAACCCTGAGCTGGTACAGCGAGCAGGGCTTAGCAGGCGTCGTCCTGTCCCCCGACCTGAGTTACGATGAGCGCAGTCACGAGCTGGTGGTGGCGGAGGCCGGAGTGTACTTCGTGTTCTTGCGGATGCAGCTGTGGCAGGTGATGAGGGCTGGCCCACCGTCGCAGGGCGAGGTGTCTCTGACTCTTCAGCTGCAGCCACCGTCCACTGAGGCCACAGACCTGGCCCTCACGGTCACCGTGCCTCGGATTTGCTCCTCCAAAGATTTGGGTTCGAAACCGGCCGGAGGGTTCTGGGGTCACCTGGTGGACCTCCAGGGTGGCCAGCGCCTCAGTGTCCGCCTGAGCGCCCTCCTGCAGGGAGGGGCCGAGGCGCACCGCGCATGGCAGCTGGCCCCCCACGCTGTCTTCGGCCTCTTCCGGGTGACTGGAGATGTCCCAGGGGAGCTCTTCGTGTGACTTGCCACCGGCTTGCTGCCATTTTTCTTCCCTAGGATTGATCTACCTCACGGAACCCTTTTTTTTTTTTTTCTCGGGGCTTCATCTATTCCGCCCTGAGTAGGACTCACTACTTCTATTTATTCTGAGCTGGAACTCAGTCAGTTTACTTTAAAACACTTCCATTTACAGAGCACTTTACAAGAGCTGCTACATAAACATTAAAAAAAATTAAAAATCCATAAAGTTCTTTTTTTTCTTTTTGGTCAGTCGTGGAGCTTGAACTCAGGGCCTGGGCGCTGTCCTTGAACTTTTTCACTCAAGGCAAGCACTCTATCATGTGGAGCTGTAACTCCACATGGAGAGAAGAGTCTCACAGGGACTTTCCTGCCCAGGCTGACTTTGAAACCTCCATCCTCAGATCTCTGCCTCCTGAGTAGCTGGGATTATAGGTGTGAGCCACCAGGACTGGCTCTTCTCCTTTTTACAGTGTTGGGCAGTAGAACTCACTGCAATGGGGCCAAGTCTGCAGATCTCAGGACTAGGAAAATTCATGTGTGTGTGTGTGTGTGTGTGTGTGTGTGAGAGAGAGAGAGAGAGAGAGAGAGAGAGAGACACATACACATATGGACGAGAGAGAGAGAGAGAGAGAGAGAGAGAGAGAGACACATACACATATGGACAGACAGACAGAGACAGAGAGGGAGCAGGGAGGAGAGACAGAGAGACGGGGAGTAGAGGAGGGAAAGGGGAAGGAGGACTGGAAAAATCTGTATTTTCTATGTATTTCTATGCATTTTCTCTGCTGGACTTCATTCACCTTCCTTGAGAGCCACAATTACCCCCTGCCTTAGTGATTTTCTTTTTTCTTTTTCTTTTCTTTTGTCGGTCATGGGCTTGAACTTTGGGCCTGGGAACTGTGCCTCAGCTCTTCAGCTCAAGGCGAGCGCTCTACCACTTGAGCCCAGGCCCTGAGTTCAAGCCCCAGGACTGGCACAAAAAGAGCCACTTCTGGTTTTCTAGTGGTTTATTGGAGATAAGAGTCTCACTGACTTTCCTGCCTGGACTGGCTTTGAACCATGATCCTTAGATCTCAGCCTCCTGAGTAGCTAGGATTATAGGTGTGAGCCACTGGTGCCCAGCAGTGATTTTCTTTTTGTGCCAGTCCTGAGGCTTGAACTCAGGGCCTGGGCTTTTCCACTCAAAGCTATAGAACCACTTTTAGCTTTCTTTTTCTTCTTTCTTTCCGCCTTCCTTCCTTCCTTCCTTCCTTCTTCTTCCTCCTTTCTCTCTTTCTCTCTCTTTCTTTTTCTTCCTTCCTTTCTTTCTTCCTTCCTTCCTTTCTTCCTTCCTTCCTTCCTTCCTTCCTT